GGGAGTGATTCTCATCAATATGCAATCACAAACATCCAAAGGTATGGTTCAAAACATCAAGTGTCATCAATTTGTAGCTGATCAGAACACAGCTCTTAGAGCTGGAATCTCATGCGTAATTAGCAAACCCAATTTGATCTGTTTGAGAGTTGGATGTAATGGTTTTAACATAAATCTTCTTCTTGTCAATGAAATGGCTAAATTAATCCATAGTGCGCATCTGTTGCTAAAATGTCTCCCCGAATTGTTCTCTAAATTCTGAGATTTAGAACTGCATGGCTTGCAAAAAGGAAAAGTCACATCTAAAAATGTCATAAAAGATGTAATAAAATGTTCCTTGAAATCTTGACAATTATCTTGACATTTTGAACCACACCTTTGACTATACCAAACACTGTAGCCATGAGATGGATCCTTTGGGGATATGTTTGCAAAATCCACAGAGGAAAGCCAAAATGGAGACATCTACACCTCCAGGGAAGGGACAAAGTTGGAAACATCCCCGTACTAGGGCAGGGACAAAGTTGAAAACATGCACCCATTAGGGGAGGGGCAAATTAAGTTGGAGACATCCCCAGAATAGGGGAACAATGAAGTATCATACACAAGAAAAGACCAAAGAATGCATGACATATCCGAACACAAGAGATAAAGAGACCATTGACTGAGCACAACATGGATCCATCTCATCATAGTTTAAAAAATGTTTACCAGGAAAACCCAAGGAATACATGTAGCAACCTCCAATTGTTTCAGAATTGTAAATTTTGGTCTGTATACCGTTTCAGAATATTGCCAACATTTAACTTGAAACTTATAAACTTTGTACAACTTTTTTATGGGGGGAGGATCAGTCTGATATTGAGCAAAGTGGATGCTTTGATGCAATGATTCTGAGTTATATGATCTACATAATTCTTGCAATGCCACTGGATTCATTTGAGTTTTCCTGTAACACTTTATGATTTTCCAAGAATGAAAAACACAATAATATCCCATATATCACACAAATCAGAGCTTACAAAACTATAGCTTAAAAACCTATCCAAGTTTTCTTACTCCTTTCCTAATGAAGTTATTTTGTTTTTGCAATCAATGGGACTTGATTTTGTATTCAGCATTTCATAAATAAAAACAACTCCTCTGGTGGAAATTTGGATACTCATCAGACTAAAGAATGACATTTGGAAATAATCCAAAATGTTGGAAGAGTGCATATATACCTTGCTGTGATTTTTTTCTCTGTCATCATCTCAAGATGGGCAACTTTCCTGTTCTAACGCTTGGAGTAAAAAACTTGGAAAGCTCACGAAGGCTACAAAAATATCCAAGTTGACATCATAATGACCTTTCAAAATCACTCAAATCTGAAATGTTCTCTTTCAGAGCAAACTTTCACAAATCTTCCTGTTTTGGCTTTTTGATACTGGTCAAACATGTAACCATACACGTTTTTGAATGAAAAAAAAATAACCTGAAAATTTTTCAAAATATATCTCCTTATTTTAAGGAAAGGTCGATGATAAACAAAGATATTTTGACACCTTAAAAACTGCAAATGTACAAATGATTCTTTTTTTACATTTCTGATGAAAACGGACGGCTGGACTTGAAATCTCTGGATGCAGAGCTGTTGTCATGGTAATGAAGGATGTTGCTGTTTATCAAGTTGTTTACCTGCAATGATGGCGAGGAGAAAATAAAGTTACAAGTGAGAAATGCATCACAGGAAACAAATCTAAAACAAAACTCTGAGTATATACATTTTACTTTGAAAGTCTGTGCTAAGTTTTCAAACACAATAATACATGAAGCTCAATTATTCCACAATTAAGCAATTACATATAGTTGCAATAAAAAGAAACAGACTAGCTATTATCTGTTCATTTTTAATACCC